TACATACACACACACACACACACATATATATATATATATATATATATAATGTAAATGAAGATATATATATATATATATATACATGTATGTGTGTGTATATATGTATCATGTAAATGAAGAGCCACTTTATACTTTCCGCATTTGGAAGTTAGGTGCAGGTGAACAGCAACAAACATAATTGATTCAAATCACAACCTTATTTCCATGATTTATGAGGAAGTGCTAGAATAGCCTTCTCTGTTAAGATAAGGCTGCCATTGAATGGAGAATATGACCAACTGATATACTTAGTACTAGTATTCCATGATGGGAATAAAATGTGGATCTTATTTTCATAATCAATGATAAAATGTATAATTTCATCAGTCAGAATGTATTTAGCGAAGGTCATGGAACGCTTGTTTTTGTATTTTAAGAACTAAACCATCCTGTATTCTGGTTTGCGCAGCTAAGCCGTAGTCTTGTGAGATTGACAGTATATGCTAGTAGTATGATACATGTAGAAGTTCATCTATATTTACCTCTATGATGTTTATCTCTGTTTTGGCTCCCTAGTGGCTCATAATCGTATTGTAGTCAAACTTCCGGGTTTTGTAACTACTGTACATAGTCATAGAGGACTGGTTTCCTAAGTGACAATTCTGTCCTAGTGCCTTTTTCATAATGTATCTATTAAATATCTAACATGAATTTATGGATCAATTACAGGGGTATCCAGGTACCTGTACAGCAGCTGCCCCAGTGCACCTTGCTGAAGCCCTGACAGACAGGGAGGAAACCCTGCCTTGCATCCTGAAGATATGCATCTGAGGATGAAGCTGCCAAGCCTGGACAAGAATGCTGTGGCTTATGCTTCAGTGGCATTTGCCAATGCTATGATGAACCCTCTCTTCAACTTCTACTACGTGAAACTGTTCCTTAACGGCTACAAGATCTCTGAAGTTTGGTTCAACCAGGCCCAGGTGATATACATGATATGGAATGCCATCAATGACCCCCTTTTTGGCTACTTCCAGGATACCTCAAATTTGTCATGCTTTCGACGGCGACAAACGTCTATCCTGTACGGAGCACCTCTCTTTGCACTCAGCTTCCTCATCCCTTGGTTTCCATGGGGACAGTACGAGCCTGATGATTGGCTGATTGGTCTGCACCTGATCGTGGCACTGAACCTGTATGACACCCTCTTCACCTTCGTGCTGCTCCAACACTGCGCCCTGTTCACGGAGGTCTCCAGGAGGCATGAGGACAGGGTGCAGCTGATGAGGTACTGTCTGGTGGCAGGGCTGCTGGGGACTGGGCCGACCATCGGCATCGCTTCAGCCATCTCCAACAACATGGAGAACCTGCACAACTTCCGCATCTTCACACTCCTGGTGGCGGCCCTGGCCTGGGCCAGCATGCACTACGCTGCACTACACATCCGCACAGAGCTCGACGACGCACGAGACCACGCCTTTCTGGAGGCTGAGAGTCAACCTAAGGATGATGGCAATTCTAGTTCTTTCTGGAAATTGATGTGGCAAATAGTTATACAAAAGAACTTTGTTCTGTTTGTAACAATGAACTTCCTGCAAATCTTCCACAAGACATTTCTGATCAATTTTGCCATGATTTTTGTGGACAACCTTCTGCCAGAAGACATGTTCAGCTCTCTGACCAGAAGTGTTCTCTACGGGTCTGGGTTTTATTTCCCCGGTATGTTCATCCGTCTTTTAGATGGCTCACAACTAACATTGGCATCAAATAACCTTTTGCTACGAGTGATTTATGACCTTTTGCTGTAAATGTATATTGATGTTGTCAGGTATCTCTATTTCAATGTTCCTCTGCCTACCTTCTAGATGATAATGAAATATGCACTGCATTGATTGAACAGTTTACCACTTGTTAGGGTTTGATGAAGTCAACAGCCTATAGAAAACTTGGAAAGCGTATTACATGTACTTTCATCATTACTATTTGTTTATCCACAATTAAGGATGCTCCTTGTGTTTCAGATCACTGCTCTGCTTCTGAGTCCAGTTGTTGAGCGGGTGGGGTCATATCGGGTCATCCTGGCCTCCTTCTACCTGGAGTTGGTGTGTGCAGTGGGTATGTTCCTGGCAGGGCCACAACCATGGCTGGTCGTTCTGTATCTGCTGATGGACATGTGAGCACACCTGTGACTGATACATTTGTACATACTGTACACTGAGTAGTGGCTGATTGTGTCTATCTGCTGTTGGACATTTACATAACAGTTTTTCTCCTTCCCTGCAGGAGCATCCCAGGAGCAATTTTCAACCTGGTCGACATCTCTGTTTCTGACATCATCGATGCTGACTGTAAAAAATATGCCAGAAAGTAAGCAACAATCTTTGTTTATGTTGTTTCATTAACATTTTCCTGGCTTTCTCACAGTATCTTACAGATAACGTCATCTGCATCATTATCTACTTATCCCCTAAAGAATGAGGTATAGTTAATGTCATTGTGTGTGTGTACTTCAGGGATAAGTGCAATTTTTGTTACGTGTGTTGTCTGCAGGACTCCATTGTCATCCATGTTCTTCGGAATGAATGCGTTGTTCACCAAGCCGGCACAGTCGCTGGCACCAATGCTGGTGGTAAGCATCCTGAATAGGTATGGGTATGAGGACCTGGTGCGGAGCACCTCTGAACTGGGCACAAGCACTGCTGGGCATGACGAGCTCAGGCAGGTCATGTTCCATATCTTCTGCCTTCTCCCTGCAACCATTGCCTTCCTACAGATCCTTGTCTGGAAACCCTACAGCCTGAAGGACAGCCATGTCTCCACAGCCAAGTACATCGACACTTAAGGAGTCAAGGAACAACCACATGAAGTAGTTTCCTCGAACCTTTCAGTGAATAATTGATAAATGATGTAAGATTGTACTTTTTTTATGTGAAGGGCATTTGTTTAAATTCTGACAATCTGTATGTTTAAGAATACAAGATCTATAATATTTTTCTGTGAGCAAGTTTGAATATCAGCAGGTGTGTTGCAATAAGTTTCATTATGCTCATATCTTGCATTTCTTGAATAAGTTTGCAATTAAGTTTTACTTAGCTTTACTTTAGTGATGACATCACAGAGTTGTGCTGATAAAAATTATTTATTTCCTGCCCTGTCGTGGTACCTTCCGACAGTAGTGGAGCAGACATGATTTTCGACATCATTCTCCTGTAGTCACAGCTGGAAATCTTCACAGTTGGTGTTTAAGTAAAGATAACTTATCTGGCCGAAATTTCAATCTGCAAATTGATGTGTCATTGATTATACATGTATAGTTATTTTCTTTGCCCTTTTCTTTGACCAATACCCCCAATTCCACTTCCCGACAGACATCACAGGTGACCTTGACTTTGACCTCTAATAGCTGCGGCCAAACAGGGTGTAGTACTTGGCATCCTTGTCACAGCCCTCGCAGATGCACCTTGTCCCTGGCTGGAGCTCCTTCAGCGGCTTGAAGGGGATGCACAGCCCCTTAGCTCCCATAGAGGGCGCCCCTGGCTCGATGTCTTGGTCCCTGCAGATGAGATAAGGGCATTCAGTACATCTTACATCTCACTAACAAGACTGACTACTCCAGTAGAACCCAGCCTTACCCAGTAGAACCCAGCTTACCTCTGTAAAACCCAGACTATCACAGAACCCAGCCAACTCCAGTAAAGCCCAATATAGCCCCGTAAAACCCAGCCCTCACCCCGTAGAGCTCAGCCTCGTCCCGTAGAGGCCAGCCAGGCCCAGTAAAACCCAGCCTACCTTGCACTGTCCTTCTTGATTTTGTCCTCACATGGTATCGCTCCACAGTATGGAGCCTGGATAATCTGGACAAACATCAGGAAAAGCAGAATTAGAATTTGTACAACACAATGTGGAGTGTGTTACACAACTGTCCCCAACAATGGATTAGTCTATAGACTAGGATTCACACATACACAGTATGGATTCATTTGAAAGGACATTTGTAACTCATTGAGTACTCATATTCAGAAATATCCAGGTTAATTACTGTTTTTGATTTATGACTGAAAAATATCCTATTTCATGGAGGTGAAACTGTAAATGTAGTGAAAAACCTGGTACTGACCATGCCCTTGTCCAAATTAGCGCAGAAGTCACTCCAGGTGTCGATGGCCACCATGTGTGAATCCTGATCCTTCTTGGCCCTGCAAAGTTTCAGGAAGAACAAAAAACACTTCAGTAAACCTTGCAAAGCATGTATCTCATGCACCTTAACAAGACTTGTGAGGTGAAATGAGATATGACTAGTGTTATATAGTATTGCCCTTATTGCAGGGTTAGCACAACTGAAGAAGCCTGCCAACACCGTATCTGTACTGGTTAGAGCAGCAGGTGGCAGGGAGAGGGGTACAAGCCTGACCTGCTGTAGAGGTCAGCCTGGATGGTGTCCAGGATCTCCTTGATCTTCTCAGTGGCTTTGCCCTCTGGCACGGTCAGTTTTTCACCAGTGTCTCTCCGCACAGCCACAAACTGGTTCTCCTTCATGTCACGTGGGCCAACCTCAATCCTGATGGGAGTGCCCTGTGGGGACAGTTTTCAGGACAGTTATAGCAGTGCAGTTATTGGACAGTTCGATTATAGTACAGTTATTACATAGAAAGTAAATTGGACAAACATAATTATCTCCAAAGAATGCAATGACAGCACACTTATTGTTCAAGTTTATCATCAGTTAACCTTCAGTTCCCAGTGGTTGAACTTCCAACCAGGTGAGTAGTTATCCCTGAGGTCGTCCGTGGCCCTAATGCCGGCGTCACGCAGAACCTTCCGGTACTCCTGACACTTCTTCATCAGCTTCTCCTTGTCTTCCTCCGATAGGTTGGCTGTGACACCACAGGGGATCACCACTACCTATAAACAGCAATGTATAATCATATAGTTGTATGGTATAACTGGTCAACAGACCAGTTTTGTACAGTAAACATTATGACCTTGGTATCTGTTTGCTTTAACATCACATATCTGTGAAATGAGATTATTTAGTAAAAGACCTGAAAGTTTCTTGGCTGACCTGATCGCGTGCGACGACCGGAGGCATGACCAGCCCCTTGTTGTCTCCGTGGACCATGACCATGACCCCGATGGTGCGGGTGGTGATGCCCCACGAGTTCTGGTAAACAAACTTCTTCTCTCCAGGCTGAAGGGACAAACAGCAGTGTTACAACATCTTCAAATGTGAGATATGAAGATATAAACAGGAAGTCATACTCGAGGTAAGACAAATAAAAAATTGAGCCCGAATTGTTACAATGTCAGATATAAATATTGTAGGTTACAGTGTCACAAAACTGACTTACACATGTATGTCAAGGTTTCATACCTTCTCAGGATCTTCATACACAATTTCAAACATCTTGGAAAAGTTCTGTCCTAAGTGGTGAGAAGTTGCGCCCTGAAGAAACACCAGATTCAGCAAAATTAGTGACTACACATGTACGTCTGGTACATGATCTTTGCTTTGCAGTCTTTTTTGCTGATGATGATTCTACATATTTCTGCATAATATTTACTGGTACCTCAAAACTGGGAGAAAATATTTCTACGAGATTCATTAATGTATACCTTCATACATAGCATTCGATTTACTGTATCAGCAACTACATCCAAAAAACAGAAGCCAAAATTTCACACCCAGGCACAGGTTTCCTACATGTACATGGATACTACAAACACAGGCTTTCCACACAAAGGCTTCTTACCTGAATGGCTCTGCCACTGGCCGAGATGTAAACCTCCACTGTGGTGGTGTAATCTCCCCCAGCAAATTTCTCCTTCTCTGTCTTCCTTCCCCGAATCACAGGAATGGCCATCAGGTCCTCATACACACGGGCATACAACTCCAGGATCGCCAGAACCTGAGCGACATAAGCTGTCAATCAACTTCTCATCAACCAATCAGCCATTAGCTTCTCATACACACAGGCAAACATTGTGATAACAAACAACAGCCAGTAATGGCAACACTGGGAAGAACCTTACCTCTTCATCAGCCTCATCCTTGGAGGCAAAGGCGCTGTGCCCCTCCTGCCACAGGAACTCACGTGTGCGCAGGAACGGCTGTGGATGTTTGAACTCCCACCTCTGCAGGGGAAACACAGAACAACTGTAGCTGCATCCAGTCTTACCTCAATCCAGGTTTACCTCACCTAAAAGCTACTTTTCCACTGGTCAAGACAAGAAGGACAGATACTTAAGGGAATTCCCCTTCTTTTTGCACAAGTACAAGTACAAGTACAGTGGACTATGGTTTAGCATGCAGTCCCGCAATAAAAGAAAAAATTTGCAAACTACAGCAGCTGAGATTTACACTCACCACAACGTTGTTCCACTGGTTATATTTGATTGGCAGGTCTCGGTGAGACTTGATCCACTTGGCGTAAGCTGGGTACATGACTGTCTCGCTGGTGGGGCGGATCGCGATGGGCTCAGCCAGATCCGTGTCACCTGACTTGGTCACCCAGGCAACCTATGTGTTACAAGAATGAAGCATGATGTTACCAGTATATCTCTGCATCAACCATAGCCAATCCATTCCCCAAGTTCAGGAGACTTACAAGGATGATTTTCATCTACAAGTAGAAAGTACATATTTTATTTGTTTCCAAGTGAATATCACAAAAATAATGGATTTTATTGGTACACTAGTAAATTTTTCTGTGCAACTTTTTGTTTTCTTCTAGTATTTTGTTTTCCAGATAAATAGAAATAACCATCTATACAACTGCATATCATAATCTGCTTTTGATATTGATCAAGTTCATGACTTTCTGACTTGTTTGTTCAGTACATGTTGTTACCTCTGGAGCAAAGTCAGCAATGTGTGTTTTCTCCCTCTCCAGTGCAGACTGTGACACAAAGATGGGGAAGTACACATTGTCCACACCCATCTTCTTAATCTCAGCGTCAAAGAAGTCCTTGATCTTCTCCCAGATGGAATAGGACATGGGGCGGAGGATGTAGCAGCCGCTGACGTCGTAGTACTCGATCATCTCAGACTTGGTGATGACCTGGGAGTACCAGTCGCTCAGGTTCTCCTCCTTCTTCGCCTCCAGACCGAGTCTGAGGGAAACATTGTGAATCAGTTTCCAGGCTCGTGTTCCAAACCTGTAGCCTGACATTCATCTTTTCTCACACAACCTAAATATTATTACCTGCCACAGCTGCTAGCAGCCTTCATGATCAGGGCCAAAGAACTCAGCTGCTGAAATTATTGGTCACTCTTTATAAACCTCTCTTCATTTTTTGTTGCGTGTAGGGATGGATATCAGTCTCTTCCAGGTGTGTTTACACATAGAAACAGCATGGACCAATTACCCCTCAGGGGTCCTGTGAGAAATGTGATTAGTCTAAAACCAGTTTATCATCAATTTCTTTCAACCCAATCGATCACACAGCTAGTACAAGTCAAGTCAGCCCAATTGGACCAGTGAATAGTACATATTGTCTTGGAAAATCACAAACATCCACACCAATATCTGTCTAGAGATGATGCCATTGGACCAGCTGTGCTCAGCCTTACAACTGACACCAGAAATTTCCTCCCTAACACCTGCATGGAGATGATGCAGTTAGACCAGTTGTAACCAGTTCTACAAGTAGCTTCAGGCAAAACACATAACACAAAACACTACCCCATCAGTTTCACCTGGTGACTTTCTTAGGGCCCGGCATGCTTCCTTCTGGCTTGCTTGCCTCCTTGGCGGCCTTCTTGGGCTGGTCTTTCTTCTGCTCCTTCTCTTTCTTCTGTTCCTTTTCCTTCTTCTGTTCCTTCTTGCTCTTCTTGCCGCCTGCTGGAGTGAGGTCCTCCCCTGTCAGAGTCTTGTACTGTTCCTTGAGTGCCAGCAGCTGCTTCACCTCAGCATCCACCTGGGCCTGGGGCAAAGGTCAAAGGGCATGTAGGAAGGTCAGGGGAGTTGGGGCAACCCTACCTCCCCCTGCTTCATGATTAATTTAGTTGTGGTTTGTTTAGCAGGCACTTCAACACCGTTTACTGTTTCCATAATTTTACTGCCTCCCTGTGACTGAGACCCCTGCAAAAGTATAATAATTAAATATTGGATACCACACCTATAAATGTACTTATGCTTCATACTGTACATAATCATAGTATAAAAGATGGCATGTATGGTATGTAGTTCACAACAGCCAAAGGTGTAACAACATTTCAAGAACTCAAAACTGTTTGTGTAGCTTGAAGGTAAAACATGGTTTATATAGAGGTATATAGGACTGTGGTCTACAAAGTCTTACTTCTATATTTACTGATGAGGAAACATTTACTTTTAACAAAAGTTTTCAAGGTACTCAAAAATCAAACCACATATCCCACTGTTTATGTGTTATAGAGTTATGTGCTGGTTCATTTTGGTTGAATTTCAAGTTGATTACCCCCCCCCCCCCCATAAGCATTAAACAATAGGGCCAGATTATGAATAATTCATCATTAGGTCTTTTGGGACTACTCTGTCAGTCTGTCAAAAGGATAGCTTGGTCCAGTTCTAGACCCTACCTTTAGTACCAGTATGGTCCCTACCCATTATTCTCACACAAAAAAACACACGTCAGGCACGTGTAGCAAAAACCCTTACAGCTACGATTTTGCTGACCTTTAAACTGTTCAAAGTACCAAACCTGTACCTGTCCCTGCTGTCTCTATTGTTTCCGGCCTCGTTGTGTCCACAATGAGCCTTGAAACTCCCGGCATACACATTTGTTGCCCTGCCACATCAGCATGAACTTTCACCTTTGGCCTACATATTTTCTAAAGCCCCAGTCAGTTCTGGCTGTCCATAATTGTAAACCAGGTGCCCAATTTTTGTGTGCCTAGGCAAGCCCATAGCAAAGTGCCTGATTTTTTTGTGCTCACGAAAACATCTACTTGAAGCATATACATGTATCATATGGGCATACAAACATCTAATGGAAACATTAAACATATATGGGTAACGTGTGTGTGTGTGTGTGTGTGTGTGTAGGCATGTATTTTCCCCCTACCTTATCTGCCCCGCTGCCCTTTAGCTGGCGCACCCTGTTCCCCTGTTCCTCTATCTGAGCCTTGAGTTTCTCCACCTCAGGACTGGACACGGCCGCCTTCTCTTGAGACGTCTTCTCCTGTTTCTGGCCCTTCTTCCCCTCCTTCTGCTCCTGTTTCTTCTTCCCATCGTCCGCCTTGGGAGGCTTCCAGTCCTTCCCCGTCAGGTTCTTGTAGTCGGCCTTCAGCGCCAGGAGAACCTTCACCTCTGCATCCACCTGGGCCTGGGAGAAAACAACAGTAGGAGTTACATTTGATGTTGAACACTACAGGAATCACTGCAGGGCTGTAGATATCCTCTACAACCTGCCATTTGCCTGAAAAAATTTCCTGAAGAAGTACAAGTGTTAACAAGTTTGGCAATCAATACAGGCTTAGTATTAATATTTTCATATCATATATATCATTATATTCAAACAAAGTATTTTGTGCCCATTTTGATGCCACTACACCAACCTTATATACAGATACATTTGTATTTGTCTTTTTACGTCTCCTTCTGTACCTTATCTTCTACACCTGCACTAGCAGTAGTAAAAATCAGTGGTACCAGTTAGACACACGCAATAAAAATTGCATCTCCACTGCACACTCTATGTAACACATAATGAACCGTGAATGTCCCACCTTTTCTGCCTTTGCTGTCTTGAGCTGTCGGACCTTCTCACCCTGAGCCTTAATCTTGTCATTCACAGCCTCCACATCAGCAGGACTGGCTGCCGGGCTGGCCGAGGGAACGGCTCCAGTCTCCTTCTTAGCGCCAGGCTTCCAGTCCTTCCCTGTCAGGGTTTTGTATTCAGCCTTAAGACTCAGGAGAACCTTCACAGCAGCATCAACCTCAGCCTGGGAAGGAGATACCATACGACACATTACAGCATTTATATACGTGTATGTGTAACAAACATTGCACATGATATACATTACAGTTAATATTACAGCACACTTCACACCATCAGGAAAACCTCCACAGCAGCATTGATTTCAGTCTGGGAAGACAGCATATTAAAAAATATTATACATAACAAAGGCCTTGTTACACAAATTACTGCAAACATTACACACCCCAGACCCATAATCTGGGTGTTGCAATCCAAGAGCCTCCAATAGTGTAAGAAAAACATCTTACACACAACAAAACTTTCTAAATGTGCTCAGAGAGACGCACCTTGTCTGCTTTCTTCCCCTTGAGCTGCCTGACGGAGTCACCTTGAGCAGCGACCTTGTCACTTAGAGCCTGCTCGTCTGCTGGGCTGTAGCTGGGAGATGCTTCCTCCTTGGGAGATGGAAGCTCCTTCTTAGAGGCAGCCTTCTGCACCTTGTCAGCCTTTGTCTGCACATTGTCAATGTTTCAGAGTCAAAGTTAAAGCTTCTGTTACCATGTCAGTCTGAGTCCATATCATTCCCACATGCTCACACAGTATCTTAGACCACATTCCACATTGGATGCTTGGAACAATGGAGAATGGGTTACCATGACAATAGGTCACAGTATGCATGCCTTGCACATTAGTTGTGTCATGGTAATATATCACTTTCCCCCTGCATTATCCATAATTTATCTGTGAATATCACTATTGATAAGTAACGTTAATGGTTTAAAATTCTCATTCCCTACAGCTGTCACTAGGAAACTGTCACCAGGCAACCATCCTCAGGTTCATGCTTCATTTGTCTGCATATTTGGCACATGGACAGAACATTTCAATAGGGACTGCTGCAAGACTCTCCAGGTCAGGGGTGAAAACTAAAAGTCACATTTTCCAGATGGACACCTAGAGTGAAAATTAGTTGCAATGCTTCTGATGCATCCAGAAGTTCATTTCTTAGCAGCCATGTAAACAGCCATTATCCATTACCCTTTCAATTTCAATTTTCAACAAATCTATGTGGATAAATACATCATCTTCATGATCAAGCTCTTGAACAACAGAAGTGTGGACACCTGGGGCAACCTATCATGTAGCACCAGTAACTATTGACATTGACTGTTACATGTACAAGTTATCTTTCATGCACTTCCCAAACATTTGTGTAAGCTACACAGGCACAGGAGCAGAGATATGAACTTAAACCTTTGGCTTCTTCTGACCCGCTGCTGCCTGTAATGGGAAGTCACAAGTATATTTGAAGCTGAGAACATTTCATCAGTATTAATGATTACAGAACAAAGGATTTGTATCCATAGCTTAGCAAAGACTACGAGGTATCAACCATATAATTTACATTGTTTAGGGGTTTGAACCTGACCTTGGACTTGGCTTTGGAGCCAGCTGTTGGCATCTCCTTCTGATGTCCGTCTGGGATGTGGAACAGGACACAGGGGGTGGGCTGGCAGGTGTACCGACTGGAAACATACAACACACATTACAGCACATGTTACAACACACATTACAACACACATTACACAGTGGGTGGGCTATCAGGTGTATCAACTGGAAACATACATCATCATACATAAACGTACAGTGACAGACATCAGTACTGACATCACATTACAGCACTGCTTGTGCAGGCAGCAGTAGCCTCAGAGATTGTTACTGACATCCTGACCTTGGGGGCTGGTAGGGAACATCACAGATGTAGTAGCCACGCCTCTGCAGCTGGATGATGTCACCTTTCTTCAGCTGAGCCAGACATGGGTCTCCCAACATCACTGTCTCCATCTGCAGTACACATTAGGACAGAACTGTCACACCTGCTGGGATATCCTAACACTGTCTTCATCAACTAAGAAAAGCCTATGCTAAAGTAATCTCTAAGACAGACAGGAAAACCTGCACTTAAAGTTTTTGAGATGAGAGAAATGAAGCTGTTCCTGAACAATAATTGCTGTTCCTGACCTTTGTGTCTTTGCTGACAAAGTTCTTGAACTCATCCTCCTTGGCCAGAACACCCTTGGAGATGATGTGTTCAAAGTGTGTGACGACGGTGGGAGTGAAGGGGGCCTGTGGAGTTTCTGCGAGCCAGGTGAGCTTTGTCGTCTTCTTATAGTCCTGGGAACAGACAACAAAACACATTGGCCTTATAGAAACACTACTAACATTCAACAGGAAACTTAAGTCTCAAAACCAGACCATAGATTTAGTTGTCTTGCATATCATAAATAAAATGTAATATTACTGTACATGGAGGTATAAGTCCCCTTCCATGTTCAAAGTAAAAAGTGTGACAGGAATTCTCCAGACTTTTCAGCTGTGGTAAAGACAATCACTATATGAATGCCAAAGTGTGCTTAGCGTTGTACCATGTTCCCCACATGATATGCATAGAGAGGAAAGTGGTACCGTGTTCTCCAGGTTTAGCTCTGCATCAATGGACTGGACAGCTCCAGCCTTGTTCCTGCAGAAATGGGTAAGATTACGATGACTTACTGGATTCTAAAAACGGAAATGCATCTAATCCACGCTGTAGACGTCAGCTTAAAATCAGAATGTCAGCACTCTTACTTGTTGATCTTCTTGATGATGATGTTTCCCCAGTTGATGAAGGTCACGACCTCCCCTTCTGACAGGGTGGCAGCATCCTCCCCATCTATGTACACCCTGGAGGAGTACCACACCTGCTTCTGCCCTACATCAGCGTTCTGGGGGAACAAAATATTTATTTATTTGTTCGTTTATCATCTTAATGACACTGCCCATACAAGTATTACACCCTAAGAGATAAAAACTGTTACCGGTACCTTCAAGTTGACATTATAGGATAAAATCAGCAGAATGGAAAAAGAGCCCACTGACTCCACGACTTATGACCTGACCTTGGGGTGCTTGGGAGCTTCCTTCATCTCCTCCTTGGCCTGCGGAAGGTTGACGACCACAGCTCCTTCCCGCTGAAGTGCCGTGAAGCGGGGAGCGACAGGGTCGATCACCTGTAGGAGGCAGGAGCACAAACCTGTCAGACCCTAAAACATGATTCAGCAGTAATCACGAAGGAATGCAGAAACAGACAGCAACTCCTATTGATTTGAACTTACTTTATTATTTTGTAATCATCATTATGTACTGTTAGGCATGTAGCAAAAGACCATGTGGTCTGAAATTGTAAAACATACATACATATTATGTACAAAGTTTTGTTATCTATGTTTTATTTTATTGACCCCAGGAAGAATAGTGCTTTTAAGCACTAATGGGGATCGAAATAAACAAACAAACAAACAAACTCTAGATGATGAAATCAGCTGTATAAAGAATACATGTTGTATAGGGAATTCTTACCTTTTTGTTGAAGGCCCAGATCTTGTCCCACTCCATGACCACCACTGCACGAGAAGAGCCCTAGGAAACAGAACACGGGTGAGATTACATTTTGTATAACAGCTGATTGATTGGTTGATAGATTGATTGATGAACTGATTACAGTAGGAACTATAACTGCCTGTGCTTGCTGACCTGTGCTACGATGAATTGCTTGAGCCCCTCCACAGTCATGCCTCTCCGCAGCACACCTCGAACTGTGGGGAACCGGGGATCATCCCTGCAGATGGATGGGAACACAGACAAAATCACCACAGTATCCACCATGCTTTTACAATAAAGTTGGCAGTGTAAATTGTAATGACAAAACTGGGGGCTCAAACCAAATTGTACCATTCTAAGATCTAAATTGCCATCTGGCTACATCATTCTCCATCACAGAAGTTTCACTTTAATGTTTAGTAAAACACATTTGGGACATCTAATTTACTTTCAAGTTTTAAAACACCTTTCTATAGTAGTGACAGCAATAATAGAGAGAAACTAGGCCCCTCCAGTTGACAACAAGAAGTAGAAGTAAATTATCAGGCTTGTTGATTATATTTGCGCAATTCCATGTTTTCTAATATCCACTGACCATCCGTCCACCAGTCCCTGGTCCACAAACCAGGTGAGTTTGCGTTTGGACATGACAGTGTTCTGCAGGTTCAGCCGGCTGTACTCCCAGATGTGCACCGGGCGCAGCGACAGCTTCTCGATGAACCAGTTGAACTGGTCATCACGGTCATGGTACTCTGTAGTCCGCAGCGCGTGGGTCACGCCCTCCACACTGTCCACGATTGGACAGGCAAAGTCATACGTCGGGTACACCCTGGGGCAAGACAGGAAGTTGGTCAGATTATCTTTATTGTAAAGTGAGTGAACTTTATATGGGATCTACAGTTTAAACCATTTCAACAGACCTATACTTGGGGGCAGTCTATGGCACATGACTATATCATAGGCAAATGACAACAGGCCTTACTTGTACTTGGTGCCTGTGCGTACGTGAGACTCGGTCTTGCAGCGGTAGATCGTCGGGTCACGCATACAGCCGTTTGCAGACTGCATATCAATCTTGGCTCGCAGACAGCAGCGCTGTCCGACCTCTGACCCCTTCTTCATCTCCTCCCACATGGCCAGGTTTTTCTCCACAGCTGAAAACAGATCATTGTCATCATCATCATCACTAGTACCATCATCATCATCATTCCTCATCAATACATTTCCATCGGGTCTTCTCCTAGTCTCACTAACTTTGTTTCAGTCATCACAGCAGCAAAAAAGATAACAGCTCAAGGCCTTACCATTGCCACGGTTCTTGGAGTTGACCTTCTGCTCACGCTCCTGCTTCATGACCTCTGCCTCCGTATCGTCCACATATGCCAGCCCAGCGCGGATCAGCTGTTCCGCGTAACCTTGGATACGGTCAAAGTGGTCGGAGGTGTGCGTGAAGATGTCTGGCTTGATGTCCAGCATGGCGATATCTTCTAAGATCACCTGTAGGGAGGAGCAAACATTCAAGTCATTTTTTGTTGTCTGTTATGGAGCAATCAGCAACCCTTCTCCTGAAACCCTGCACATTCACAGCACAATGCCCCTGTAAAACAGCATTTGTCATCATTGTAACAGTAAGATAACCAACGGTATGCCTAAATACCTCAACCGACCTCAACCGACCGCGTAATGGGTTAATATACAGTATACATGAGCTAACAACCTTTTCCAACGCTCTGGATACATTGTCTATTTTTGTATGAATGGAAAAAACACTGTAACTCTGACGTATTTACCAGTTTTTAAGTTATTCCCATGGTTTAACGTTAGAAATGCTTTTCATGGCCGCCATGTTGGATCGCCATCATTGGGCCTGCATGGGGAATCTCTTGACACCTTTTGCTTTTTACAGACAACAGAACGCAAAGATGTTGGTTTATAAATCATAGTAAAAGCACAAATACTATCATAACCAACTCATAATAGAGTTTTTCCAGCCTGCTAAGCACGTACGCCTACCGGCTTGACCTCCATTGACCTCAAGGAGCAACACTCCGCAGAACCAACCAACGAACTTCGGGGGGTGGCTAGACAGATCATTTATTTCAATAGTTGGATGTCGATCAACAACTCATCCCTTCATGCTTTTAAATTTTGGAAATAAAAAGTAGAAATCATAGTCTGCCCTCGTTTGGGGTTGTTAGCCCATGTATACTGCATATAAACCCATTAAGCTATAAGCGGTCGGTTGCGGTCGGTTGTGGTTGGTTGAGGTTGGTTGAGGTATTTAGGCAGACCCGATAACCAAAGTTGGTTCATTTGATAAGGAGAGTCATTTCTCCTTATCAAATGTAAAATAAAACTACATGTACATTTCTCAGGTACTTTAATTGGGTACAACCTAAAGTCACACAGCTGTACCTTCTCAAACTCAGCACTCTCTTTGGCAGGGTTGGTGTCGTCAAACCGCATGATGAGTTTTCCCTTGAAGGCCTGCTGATAATACTGGTTCAACAGGGCTGCCTTGGCATGGCCCACATGCAGGTACCTGCACAGTAATAATGGATAGTCATGGCCCAGAAATATATCATTATAAACAAGGGAAAACCTGTAGGAAATGGACTATCTTTCAGTCCAATTCAGCTGACTTAAAATCTTTTCCATCACAGACTGTGTCACAAACACCAACAAACTACATTACAAAAAGGTACATATTTGCTACTAGCCAACCATTTTGTACAATTCATGTGACGAGATACAAACATATCAGATGGTGAAGTGACCTTTACTTACCCACTGGCCTCAGGAGGAAAGCGGGTCACAACCTTCCCCATCTCTGCACCTGGCAGCTCCACAAACTTCCCCTGGTCCTGTTTACGTGTCTAAAGGAATAAGAATGTGAGTCAGTTTATATGCCTACTAGCAGGACATGAATGTTGCATCTTTTTACATGGGGCAGGAACATTACATAGATCTTTTGTATCTACCAAAAGAACTTAATGTGTGAATGCGAAAAATAGAATAAAACACAATGATAGCAGAGAGTTGCAGATACCTGAACAGGCCTTTTGCCCTGTTGGCAGAAAAGCAGTGTACAAAATACTTTTTTGAACCAGGTTGCCCAGTGGGAAAAAATTAGGTTGCCCATCAGAATTTTAGGTTGCCCCACCTACTACTTTCCTCAAATTAAGTAATGTTACATACATAAGCCTTTGACAATTTTTCTTACAGCCTTTAGTTAACTGATACTAGTAATAGCCATTAATACCTAAAATTAAAAAGCATCTGCCGGATACAGTGGTGCAAGCCAAGTGGACATGATTTTTTTGGGGGGGGGGGCATTCTTAAAATCCAGGTAGCACACTGGGCTACCTAGGTTCAAAAATAGGTTGCCCCAAGTAAAATTTGGTTGCCTGGGGCAACTGGGCAACCAGGTATTTTTCATGCTGAAAACAAAATATCAAGTTGATTACGCGAATATGACATATTTCAGCAGCCTGCAGCGACAAAGCTGGGTGGGGATATCTTTCACAACATCTGGTCTGCCAAAATGATGGAAAAGTTCTCTAACAAGTGGTTCAGGCAGAATTCTATGGTATTGGTGCTCAGGCCATCTTAAATTCTAACCTAGAGAAAGAATGAAACAGAATGTATCATCTCCCAAAATGACTATGGCTTGAGACTATCACATCTACGTGTGCCACATGTACTAAGGCACAAAAACTGAAGGTCACTGGTCAGACTGACCTCTAACTTGCTGGACTCAGGTTTGGCAGGCAGTGCCATGGCAACAGCCTTGAACTCGGCCTGCTCCTCCAGGAAGCGGAACCAACGAGCGACATGGGGCGAGGCCTTCCCACGATCCAACATGTTCAACCAGACGTTGTTGCCTGTTATAGAGTAGACAACATGAGTCACCTTTCTTCTTCAAATCACAGAATGTCAGAACACTCAGGTGACTGAAGGTATAAAATAACCAAGCTGCAAAATTCAGTTTTCATCTGACTCACTTCTAAGGGCTCCCCATACAGCAAAGTCAGCCAGGGTTGCAGCGTGACCAATCAGGAAGGTGCGTGGCCCTAGCACCTGGTTGAGGTACTGCACGGCATCGGTGAAGTCTGCGGGACAGCCGAGTCGTCCCACGCTAAACTCCAGCCAGTGGTCGACCTAGGGTCAGATGGGGACAGAAGTTAGATGTGCTATAACTTGCAGATGAAAGTACCAGGTCCAGTTTTTTAACTTTTCTTTACTTTCATTTCACTAAATCTACACAAATGTAAGTGTTGATTAACAACCCTAACCAGCTTCTTTGCCTTAAAAGAGTTTATGTTTCCTGTAGGATGTGAATAGTGCAGGTGGCTCAATGAGGCAGGTGTCCCATTTTGGTCACATGAAAACCTCTCACTGCTGTAAAATACTTGGACTTTTATTTGAAAACACATCTACCTCGGTTGCCTCCAGGCTGTTGCTGCCATACAGGTGTTTCCCAGGTGCCAGGCGTGCCAGGTAGCGGCAGATGGATGGGACAGTGGTGAATGTCACATCCCTGGATCAGGGAACACAAAAACAATGCTCGCTACAAATTTGTAAAGAAACCAACATGTGAAAAATCTCATTGAATTCAAGCTTTTTTTTCGCCTTTTTTTGTTGAAGACATAAGATCCATTACTTTCTGTTGTACTGTTTTTGAAGCTTCCAACAAAAACACAGCTGCAGTTTTAAAGCTGCTGGGTGGCCTATCAATCGCCAAAAAAGAATTCAGTGTCATTACAGTACTAGAGCAAGCCACTAGGGGCTCACTTCTTGAAATAATTTGTTCACCAACATCCACACACACTATTGAAGGAAGTTTGAACCTAATTGAACACACAAATACCAACTGTGCTGAACATGTTCTAATTTAAATAGTAACTGTTTGCCTCCTTGAAAGAAGCAAGGAGTATGAAGCATTTTCAGCTCCTCGGCAGAAGTAATGAAAACCAGGGCGTACCCGTTCACCTTGAGTCCAGTATTCTTGCCTTCTTGGACCTGGACTGGGACAGAGTCCTTCAGGTGTTCTACAGCCAGCAACACACCTGGTACAGGTGAGAACCGTGAGATACAGGTGAGGTGAGGTATGGATATCATAATGTCATATGGCATCAGGTACACCTATTGTTACCTACAAATCATGATCACACCAAAAGTCGGTGAAAATAGCGGCTTTAATACTAGAGACAATATCAAACTGCAGGCATCTTCAGGATCTTATCTTATCTTATATAATTACTGAGCCAAGGTCCCGCGAGGGACATCATGCTCAGGGACTAGGAGGTGCAGACCCAAGCGCGGCCGGTGGTGCTGGTGGTGCGTACAGAAAAGAAAAAAGACGAGACAAAAAACAAACGTGTGATGGGCTAATCCCACAAAATAGTGCAAAAAGGAAAAAACAAACTTGTGATGGGCTAATCCCACAAAATAGTGCAAAAAGTGATAACAACAACAACAAAATGAAAATGCAGTTGCATGGCGTCGCGCCGGGTGCAAATTACACCATGCGCAGCCACGACGGCATGATGAAATCATCTCAAACGCACGCAGAATGTCCAGATAAAATGACGGATTTCCGAGCGATATGAAACTTACCTATCGGTGGGCTGGCGGGGTTGATGCTCACGGTTGCAGCCATGTCAAGAACAAGCACAGATGCGGGAAAGACACGGAGAAAATCGGGTTTAAAAATGGGAAAATTTCCTGTCTGAGTCTGAGCGAACAGGCACTGCCATCAGTCAGGTCAAAGGTAAATGGACGATTCTACGAAGCTTCCCCTTAAATTTTTATAATGTCTTAAAAGGGCCACATTCTAACAAAAAAAACAAAGACGTGTTGAAGTAGAGTTTAACATGTGCAACCTAATAGTATTTGTGCTTTTTACCGCTACACTGATTCAAACAAAATACTGCCTAGTCCCCTAACCTTTGCTTATACTTGGAATCGGCCGTGTGTAATTAAATTCCAAGATGGCTTCTCTTCTCGACCTGGCGGACAGTTTGCGGATAGAAAATAACGCGGAACTCCTACAGCAGGTTCGTTATCTCAGCTCTACACGAGCTAACATGCTCCTAACTTGAGCCTCAAACAGGGATGAAGGTATCGAATGCTTCAATGGTGTGGAAAACGTCGTTTTGTGGCATAAACAGCAAGTTATATAATTTATCACCCTGGCCCCGCCCTGGAAAACATCTCCTGCATAAACAAGAAGGAAATATGTTCATAACAGCATGTAGACCATCCGTCAAACAGTAGGGCTTTGCGTTCCTTCCGTGTGTGTAGGTCTGATGAGAACAGAAGTAGGCATAAATTGATGTAAAACACGACACGGAAGTCGGAGCATCTAAGAAGTTGGTTACCAGGGAAGGTTAACCCTAGGGTGATGACGCAGTTTCTCCAATCAATGATGTGTCAGAAAATTTGTACTCAAAACCCAGGTGTTTGAAAGTTTTAAACATCCTTAAGTTGAATGTTATCAAACAGTTTGTTTGTTTTGTACGGTTTTGTGTTTCCTTCAACCTTTCATAAAACATGTGTAGCATACGTATCTCCCTGAAGAATGGAACAAGGCTGTTCCATTGTGTTTACTTTATAACATGTTTTTCCACAGATCGCTCTGCTAGCTTATCTGGACAAGAGCTCAGAAGGTGCGGAGCTGCTGAGCACAGTGACGCAGGCCCGCGTGGGGTACGAACTGTTCCAACGTGCCACTGGACAGGACCAGATAGACAAGTACAAGGTACATGTACCTCTTAACAATCATCCAAACAAGCAGGCATCCATCTAATTCACTGTCAAACAAACAAGCCTACATGTCTAACACATGTGTTAGGATTGTGTCTTGCTCATGATGTGGCATTAACATTACCCAAAAAATTAGGCAAGAACTTCCTACCGAGACGAAAGATCTACTCTATTGTACTCTACTCTACTCTACTCTACTCTAACATGTACAAATGTACTTAGGACACATTTCCAGATTTTTGGCACTGTATAGTGCACTGCACCTTATGGTGGTCATAATATCAGAGGAACAATTTCATACAAATCAGCTTTAATATAATAAAAGATAACCATATATGAAAGTAAGTTATTAGCAACAACATGCTTAGTAGTTCAAAAGTGTAGAATTTAAAACCCTTTGTGACAGTAGTACTATGCAGAAGTAGGTGTTGATTTCATAAATGTTCCCTAAGCAGACTCCGTCCTTCTCCCCTGCAGAAAGAGTGTATCCTGGCCATTGCTGACTACTGCAAGAAGCACCCAAATGCTTCAAAGGAAGACCTGCAAAAGGAAGTGGGAAAACAGATTGTCATATTTGCAGCCAGAGTTGATGCACTCTAGTGACTAGTAATGTCTCAGGAAGATGTTTCTGCTGTTGTGCCCTGATTTATGTATTATTACGGTCATGTAGATTAGACAATGGGGAATTTAGCGGTCCAATAGAGTAGGTAGTGAAAAGCACTGGGCACTGGGCACTCTGGGTTTGGAAGGGGCACAGTATGTGTAGCTTTTGACAAATGTTAAACTCGAGTTCCTCTATACCCATGAATGTTATTTATATTTTAATGGAAAATACATAGTGAAACAAGATTAGAATTTAGAGATCTTAAACCTCAGGATGTGTTAGAGTTTCCCTGATTTTACTGACACAACCAAAGAGATGGTCTGACAAACTTTCAAACAGACATAGGGCAGAAACCTTGCAGACTGGGGGGTCAAAAGTGCACAAACTTGTTGTGACAAGCCCTAAGTACAGTAATTTGGGTGACTGCTGTCAATCTCTGGTTAGAAATCTCCCCTGCCATCCTGCTACTCTACTACACTTAGATACCAGACAAAACACACAGACACACAGACAGGCAAACAATACCTCTGTACCTGGAGGTAAAGAGCAGTATGCTATTTCAAAGGAGATGGAGTAGGAGTCCTGTTAAAACATTGGGCTTGTAATATGGTGCCCCTGAAAGGAAAGGAAAAAAATGACTTTTAAGTTAAGAGTGACCAGTGTCTCCCCCAAATGGCAGTGTAAGTTGTGCCTGCAAGAAGCCTCAGGGACCTGTGGACATGGCCTGGAGACTCCAGCCAAACTGTGAAAAGGATGTCTTTAGTAATCGGTATTAGCTCAAACAGACCTCAATAACAGGAGAAAAGGCTTTTTGAATGAAAGCAACAGTCAACATGTATGTTGGAATATTGAAAGCAATTGAAAGTTTCTAAAGTCAGCTGTCAGCTGATTTTTCTGGCTATATTACAATTCCACAGCAGTCCTCAGTCTCAGAGAAAACAATTACCTACCATCAGCAGGAAGTGGCTGATTTTTCTCTGTCCTCAGCAGATGTCTACAGTTCTCTGCGGTTTACATAGATGTATATAATCATGGCTCTGACCTGATGTACAAGGTTTGTACAAGGTTTACTTTGTCAAAAGCTGAATGTACATTATGGTACAGGTATTCCAAAACCTGCACCTTTCTGTGCAAAAGAAGATGTTGTGTTTGATGTTTTGATGTGTTTTGATAAAGTAAATGTCATTTTGAGCCAGCCATTTCATGCAATGTTGGCAGGAATCTCCTTTTATCTGTTGTGACCTTTTACTGTATTGGACTTGTATTGCAGTATAATACAGCAGACCAAAAGCTGTACTTTTAACAGAATTAGGACTATACTTTACAACAAACAGGTCAGGATAGTTTTGTTTTCTATTGTTGATATTTTCCTCAAAAAAATATGGCTGAAATTTCTTTCATTGTGCTAAAATGTTGAGCAGCCAATGTCAATTCTGTATGTGCAAATAAATCATTTTATTTCTGGCCATTGTCATTTTATGTACATGTATCTATTTTATGTGTCACTGTTATTTATGTGTGTAGCGTAGCAGAAAACATCCTTCCTCTGGAGCATTTTCCATGAAGACGTTTTGCAGGATTTCAGAATCAGAAACCGCCTACTCAGTACTCAATATTTCATATTTCATTTCAAACCTTTCCCAGCAAGATGACAGTCAGAGAATTCAGTGCAAAACTTCCCTTTCTGTTAACAAACTATCACCTCAGAGTGTTCCTGACACAACCACCACGACAGCTGCAGGATATAGATCCAGCCGTTCTGCAAAGAAACTGAATCCTTCACAAGTGCTTTATTCATTTGCCAGTAAGAGGACATTTATGATCTTACTAGCCTGTCAGCCAACAAATCGTCAACTCCAGGCCATTATTAGAAAAATAGTATTCTCGTCCGCCGAATGCAAATTGTGCTGCGCTGCATTCGGTGTTAGAATGGGAGTGTTATCCCTGCAGCCCCCCTCTCCCGTGGGAAGGGAAGGTCATGTTCATACCATGGCGTGGGCGGAAACTCCAATCTCATCAGGCAGCGGCGGAAATTACTCGCCGCAGCTGTCGCATGATTTAAACACGGGGAGGAGGGCCATGCATCAAAACTTTATCAGCGCCGGAGAGCTCTCTGTGGAAATTACGTGGACACTTTTTGTGAACTGACGACGAGTCGCATGTTTGTGGAGAACACAATAAGTACCTGCACAACAGAATTGGGTGAGTTGGTGCCGAAGCGTATGCTGTTTATATTACATCGGACTACGTGTCACATCTAAGCCCTGAAATCTTCATATGCCACTATATCGCGGTACCAAGCAGGCTGGTAAGATACTCCAAAGACAAAGAGTGTTCACACTGACTGGTTCATACAGACACTCGGTGCTGATTTCTCGATTGTTCTAAAAACTGTGGCAATGAGCATAGAGTTATGACACACCGTTAGGACAAATGGTGTTTGCACCAGCTCGTAGATACAGATGCTCTAAGGGAAGCTACATGTATGTGCCGTCCTGTTTTCTCGCCGCCTTGTTTTCTGTAACACACCTGTCCTTGGTGCTGATTTCTCCATAGTTGTAGGAACTTTGCCAGCTGCCAAACTGGAATGTGGCCGCAGGAAGTTTGCTAACGTTTGCCAGCGACAATGAGAGTGACCACGGCCGGGAAATACCACAAGCAGTTACTAAAAAGCATAGCTGACCTGTGATCTCTTATATTTTGTTATTAGGTTATATGATTTGGATTTGTCGTTTCCTTGTACTGGTTGTTTTCTTTCCTTTACTTGCTTTGTGTTTATATATCATTTATGGACGTTCAGGGCACCATTGCAAAGCAGTACAAAGTCAGTAAAATGTTATTCTCTGGCTAAAGAGAACAGAAATAACTAAACTGTGTCGTGGAACAGAAACTGTGGCATGGGGGTGGAACGGAGCCAACTACCAAACCCTTACCGGAGATGAGACGGTTCGTGCTGTCTGAGTTTCTAATATTTGATCATCTCCGCCAGTTCAGAAAATCAATACGCCAGCCCGGCCAGACGGGTGACTAACGGCGGGCCTGATTGGGCGGGAAGTGCCTTTTGTCCGAGATCTGTTCGAATTTGTGAGGATATTGTTCGGCACTGCAGGCCACAAATTGAGACAGGAATGAACAAGTCTACAGTCTGCAAAACTGGCCAACATACTAGTAGTTCCAACTCAAGCTCTCCAAAAGCACACCCACAGTGTGAAGCGTTGCCAGGCCCAGGATAACCATAGGCTTGTGCCCCTATAAGTTCAATGTGAAGGATTTATTTATTTGGAACGGCCTGCCCAGGTCGGGGGAAAGGGGGTAACAACTGTTGGGGGTAACTAACGGGGTGATTTGTTTTGATTATTTACCGTGTTCTGATCCTTTATTGCCGTGTTCTGATTGTTGTCGTTTTCCGGGCTGAACGGATAATGTTGCACATTAGACCAATAGGAATACGGTGGCAATCAGAAAACGGTAATCATTAAAATGGCAATATCGAAACGTCGTCTACCTCTACTGAGGATTGGTTAGCACTGCGTCATGTGGACCCAGTACATGTCATTGACATTGCACTGTAGGAATCTCCCAGGAATCTCCCGTGTTGATGCACGAACTTGCCATTTTCCTGTCACCAGGCACAACTGAGGTTTGGGTTTGGCAGGCAAAACAACACCTGGGGTTTGGCAGGTGGAACACCTGGGGTTTGGCAGGTGGAACACCTGAAGTTTGGCAGTGGAACACGAGGTTTTGACAGGTGGCAATGCTGACCGCTATTGACACGCGGAAATTACTTAGCCTTCCGAGTGACATTTGCTGACCTCTGCGGGGTTAAAGGGGCTGCGAACCGTCCATTCCCGACTGGCAGGTGACAGATGCGCCTTCAGGCAATCAATATATAACATGTTTCGTCTTGGAAATGAACTTTTATAAGCTGATGAGCTACTCAATTGTCTTATGGTGAAATTAATAGATATATCTTTCCGTTGTAAACGCCGATAACACTAATAAACTATCGCGACGGTGATTGGTTAGTTCAAGACATGTTTTGTAACATGCAAGGAGATCCACAAATCAAAGGTGGGTTCCTGACCCCGACAACGATGTTGGGTGATAAAGAAACACCATCAGGAGCCTTTCTGTCCTTAATGTCAAGCCTTCATGATTACGTCACCGTTGCCAGTAGCCCATCCTGACGACACCTTGTCGCACGATCGTGATAAACGATGAAAAGATCAGGTTTCTTTGCGCAATTGTCCACCTTTACACCCAAATCAAGCTGTTATTACAGGGAAGAGCTCCGTTCAATGGACAAACGAACACCTTTGTGAGCCTGCTTACAGTAGAACGGAATTAATCATCCCCTGATTCATCCCTCCTCACGTCAGGAATGTTTCCCTGATTGTCCGGAAGCGATGCTGGGAAGAGGAGCATGAATGGCGCTCGGAGGAGCTATAATCTGGGCGGAGGATTTGGTCTGAACGTCGCCTGACAGACGGTATTGTCAGGGGACTATTACCAAATGGTCGCCATGGCAACAGGATCGATGGGAACCCGACGTCATCAACAAGCCCCCACACCTTGCACGATGTCAGTAGCCTGATTCAATCGAGTTCTGCTGGCAGGGCCATATAATATCCAAGCAGATGCAAGGAGGGAATGTCGTCACCTCTTCTGATTGTCAGTTAAACGGGGCCGTCTGCGTATATCCTATACATTTATTAATATCAATGCTACATCAAGCATCTATCTATCTATCTATGTCCATCCACCTACCATCCATCTGTCTATCTGTCCCCTACGCCCGTACTAGCTCCGCTATGCCTATCGGCGTTCACTACGCCTCACCATGCAGACCCTCCTGCTCCGTGTGTGGTCCTGTTGTGAATGAAGCGCCCGCTCATTGGAGGATAATCTGCGTGATTCAGGCCGCTGCTGTGCGCCTCTGACGTCATCCCTCAGCAGGCGCCTGTGCGCATGCCCAGCTGACGGTCCTGCTCGCTCTCTCTCCCCGGGCCGGCGTAGCCTCGCTTTCATTCTCCGGGAATCCACGGGCAGATCGCCGTTAGCCGGTCCGCCTCCGCACCGCTCACACCTCACGGCGCACAGACCTGCTCCAGCCCAGGGTAGCCTCCACAGCCCCCGGGAAGCGCCCATAGCCCCGGGAAGCGCCCTCAGCCGGTCCTTGCAGCCTCCGCGTCGTACCGTACTTCTGTCGCCCGCCGTCCCGCGTTGAGCGCACTGGTGCCACCCTGACATCGCCATGGGACACGCCACGCTCACCTTCCTTCTCATCTGCCTGTCTGCTCAAGGTGAGTCCATACCCGCACGCCTTTCCCTTCGCTCTGAAACAGGTGAATGCGCAGGGAAGACTCTACCTCAGGGCAGTCCAGTCTATTGATACAATGAATTGAATGAAAGCGCCGATGGTTGTCAGGTAGGAACACTCCGTTACGGTTACGACCGGTTGTTAGTATTACTTCTGCCCTGGCGGAGCCTCCTAAACACTACTGGTACCAAAATAAGTTTCCGGGGAGTCTGTAACTGTGCGAACAGGACTGTTTGTGCGGTTAGTCCGTATTCGGCACCAGAAGGTTATTAAGATGTGTGTCCTCTGATTCCATTCGGGTGTTAATCCGCTCTGGGACCAATCGCGCGGAATAAACTGATCAGACGGGGGTCATGTTGCGTTAGGCTCAACAGGGATCAGTGCAAATGAACATGATCTGTAGATGGAGGTTGGTATGATTACGTTTGTGCCTGTCCAAGCTAGTCTCGACTCAGGACCATAATTCAACATGAAGCATAAACCCGCGTCATATCCAAGCATTGGTAATACGTGGGGACAGTCGTCCGACAAGGACAAAGCCAACAACAAAGTAGCGTTTTACGTGCAGACCTACTGAGTTCAGATGCAGTGGTTTTATACCCAAGTGGTTACCCCAAAGAAAAACAAATCATACAGTGAACTTTAGAAATATTTTCGAGCTAATTCCTCTGAGAACAATACCTCCCCATCCTGCATCCCTCAGGACAGGTGTCGGCGGCTTGCTGATGATATCATGAATATTAATGATGCTCCGGTGTCATGTTTACTTTGTGAATCCCTCCCTTTACCTTAAGACGAACTTGCTGCTCGCAGTACATACTTCATCAATGTCTTGAAACATTTGCAGACGAGCGTTGTGTTCGTCAGAGGAGCCGAGCAGCAAAATTTGGCAGCATATTTTCAAAAACAACATCGTGACCCCGGTGTTATATGATTTATTAATAATTCATAACGTAGGCGCGGTTGTCATGCAACATTCCTGAGTACGGGAAACGCGTTGGTTCAGGTCGCCTTCTCACACTGGCCATTTATGGTGCGCCAGAACCCCCACCTCTCCAGATACACCAGGTCGCAGCAATACCGGTTGGGGCGGGGGGGGGGTGTTGAACTGAAAACTGTAACAGTTGTAGGACTGGAAAGACCTTACTGACCTTCATTTGCGAGATATGTGACCTTCCGTCTGAAGGGCAAACCAGCTAAAATTGCTTTTGTGTGTCGTAATCTTCTCCTAGCCGGAGCTGCTGCCGGCCTGGGAGCGGATCGGGGCTTTAGTTCACTCATCGCTCCTGCTTTATCGTCACTACGTCACTCATGGTAAATAGTACTGGCAGATGAGGAGTTAGTCAGTTACAATAGTGGTAAAGAGTTATCAGACAGCTGTCATATTGGTGAGGAGTTATCAGCTGTCATATTGGTGAGGAGGTATCAGGCATCTGTGATCTTTGTGAGGTGTTATCAGCTTATATAGTAGTGTGGAGTTATCAGACAGCTTTGATATGGGTGAGGTGTTATCAGCAGACAGCTGTGACACGGGTGAGGAGTAGTTATCGGACAATTGTGATATGAGGGAGGAGTTATCAAATGTGAGGAGTTATCAGACAGCTATGATATGGGTGAGGAGTTATCAGACAGCTGTGATATGGGTGAGGAGTTATCAGACAGCTGTGTATGTGTTTTGTGTCTGCTAGCGTGCCGTGTTTATTCTGCCCCATTGCCCCCGGGGTTCAGACGTTGTTGGTTTATTGCCCTTGTATGAAGAGATTCGTCAACAGCATTAATGGACCGGTGTTGTAATGAGCCTCAGTATGGCGTGTTCTCGGTGTAAATGGAAGTAAAAACACTCATGTATCATGTTCATAAACCCGTGTAAGTAACGTTACATCCGGTGTGTTAGACGGGATGCACCTCAAATGCTAACAACAGTGGACAGCTTAGGGGCTACGTGACGGTTAATCTGCCGCATAAAAGGCTACCTCCTGAGAAAATGAAAATCTATGTCAAGCTTGTCGTCTACAGGCCCTCTCCGTTCTGACAGGCATAGAACTCTCAGTCTCATCGTTTTCTCCGCCTGCCCCTCCCAGATCTTCATTGGATCTTCATATCGTTACATAAACTAAGCGTGAATCTCTAGGGAGCCACACGTCATTCAAGTCCGCCTAACTAGCAGGCCTGGTTTCTGTAGAGGTCACCCGGGGTGACGTCTGAGCGGGATGCTGTTTCTGCTACCTCCAAAAGTTGTGACGTTTTCCGGGTGCCCCAGCTCCATCGTTCAGTTTTTGCGTGCTAGAAACACGCTGCAGGCTGACAAACACGAAATGTGTTACAATTTTACATCCTGAAGTCTGCTCCGAGGGTATACTGGCAGACAGATGTTCGAGACAAGTCCAGATGGGCTCCAATGATGACTGTTTATGTAGCCTTTTCCTGGAGCGGAGATATGGTAATGGTTTGATGGGCCTTTTCCTGGAGCGGAGATATGGCGATGGTTTGATGGGCCTTTTCCTGGAGCTCAGACCTATGACATCAGCCCCTCTAGTACATTGTGTAGAAACCTGGTCACGAAGCAAACATCAGGTACAATATCCGGGTCTTTATGGCCGCGGGGTCCTTAATTCAGCGATGTAACGACCTTGTCTGTGTAAAAAGAATTGATGCATTTCCGGGTATACGATGCAGCGTTATATGATAGCCTGCAATTAGACGGCCCGTGTAACGCCCTGAAGTAACGCGCGTTCAAGGCGGCAGCAAACACAATATAAATACGCGTCTGGCTCCTTCCGTAGGCAGTGACAGAGCGTGCCCATTAGCACCCCAGCATCGGTTTCAATTTACGGACGTTTCGACGTTACATAAATCCCCCGGGCCCATGTGGAATTACACTTCAGTAACGCTTATCAACACGAGTTCAGAAGTGCGGCAAGAGGAAAACTCTGCATGAGCAGCTTTGATGTCATCATCCAGAAGTAGAACATGTTGGAGCGGAAAAGTGAATGAACACAAATTTTATTATATGAAATACAAGATGTGGCTGCAGGCAGTTTATCTACTTGATAGTGATTCTAGAAGACCGATCCATAAACATGAAATGTCGAAATCGACATTAAGCAAATCTTCCATCGTTTTCAGTACATCTGTTGACTTTTATAGTTCGTCTCAGCTGAGTGCAGTATTTCCTTAGTAACACCGCGGCTCCTGAGTTATGCACCACGTTATGTACACAATAATAAAATTAATACATCTCTTAATGGATTCAGCCATTAACTGGCAACTACATACAAAAGGCGCTGTGCAAAAGTTCCAATTGTAGGCCAATGAAAAGGTTCCATTATAGGCCAATGAAAATGTCCCATTGTACCCCATTGTAGGCCAATGAAAGGTCCAATTGTAGGCCAACGAAAAGACGACAGCCGTCGGGTCCGGTTTTGGTAAGGTTGCGGAAGTTGCGGTGACCTTATTTGCGCGGCACGTTTATCCAATTTGTTGCATGTTCAGCGCGGCTGCCGCAATTTAGTTAATGCAGGATGTAACGATCTGGCAGCGCGGCGCACAAACCTCCCTACCCGGCCTACATCAAACCCACTCAGCAGTAATAAATCAGGTGTTTCCAGCGGGCTTCACGGCGCCTAAGCGCCGGCATGCAAGCGTATCATTCTATTCTCAGCTTTTAATCCAGTGCGAGAAAGAGGAACACTACCACATAGTGACTCTTGACGTAACACTTTTGTGGCCGTGTCTAAGACCACGCTTAGAATGATCGAATGAATGAACGTCAGACATGTGACCACGTGAGGTTTACATGCAAAGAAGTCTGTACCGGCCCCCTTCTTCTCTTGCTTGAGTAAAGGTTGATAAGTCCTGTAATAAGGATAGAGAGAATACATAAAATGATATTAGTAAATATCTATATGATATATATTATATATTTGTATCATTTGCTGCATAAATGGAATTATAGAGCTCATTGAATAATGATGATAGAAACAACAGAATTCACATGTCTGCCATTGTTTCCTCAGCGTTCAGCAGACCGTCGCCCCTCGACCTCTCCTTGCCGGACGGGACGGGGTCAGACGACAACACCAACCAGGTCAGTCTTATGTACACACGTACATATACCGCCTGGCACACGAAAAAATGATTATGTAAATGGTAGTAACCGTCTACCTTAACTTTTAAATCAACAAGTCATTCCCTCGTCCACTTGTTTCTAGAGTATTCTACGATCCCAGTAATCATCCTTCCCATCCGTACCGTTCCAGTTCCTATGGTATATTAGTAACCTGCCATCTCCTTGATAAACCACTGACGTGCGTGCCCTTTGCCATATTGTTCACGGTTCACTACATAAATAGATCGCCGCTCGCCTTAGCTTGTTGGTGAAAAAGAACCAGCAGTGAAGAACGGACAAGGCAGGGTGGAGGGTGGGAAAAAAGTGACGAAATTACGTAGGGACATTTGGCAGCGCATTTGGAAGGTATTCTTTGCACATACAAGGAATAAGACATGAAATGACGGATACACTGATAAAATAAATTTCCCGATAACTCCAATTCTCAGACCAGCAAAAATTCTCCCTAACCATTAACCACCATATTAGCATCTTTGCATGGGTCACGTTTACTGGATTCACCAACTCAACCTTATATCAGCCTCAAACAGACAGATCTCTGGCCGTTGTTTATCCCGGCTGTGTCTGAACTCTGAACCGGTAACTTATCGCAGGGAAACAGACTGCATAAGTCACGTTCGTGAGATATTACCGAACCCGTTCCTCTTGTAGTTTTATACCTACGTGAGTCCCCAGGTACTTTAAAGTTCTTTTATCTAATTTGTGGGAGTGAATGTAATCCGGCTAATGGCGGAGTCGTGTCCGGGGCTCGGGGCTGGCCCGTGGGATCACCTCACTTCGATCTGCGGGGCGTAATTCCCGCTAGCAGCGCCCAGAACGTGCGTCATCCCTCCAGTAGCTGATTGAAGTCCACCGGAGGGGGATTTCTAAAACTATCGTCATCTCAGAGTAACGTCCACACTGGCGTACCACAATCATTAACTCAAAATGCCTTTACCCATGGGCTTAAACACATTTTATATGCTTAATTTCCTATGTCAATGTCGTGGATTTCTCTATTTCTGTGTTATTTTCTGTACCTTGAAATTGAGAACCTCTCCGATATTGTTAAGTTTGCCCGTGCTGTAGTTTAATGAATACAATGTAAATCACCCACAGCACTCGCGCTAATTGTGTTCAGGGCCAGCACGCACAGACACAGATGATATCATCCCAACGTCTGGGTTAAAGTAGTGCGCAATAAACCACGGGACGTGAACGCCTGTGTGTGATGCAGTCCTTACCGTTTCTGGTGCTAATTTTGGGTGCCATCCCTGGTGCTGAAAGTGTGGTGCTATCCCTGGTGCTCATTTATTTGACCCGTCCTTGGTACTGACTTTGCTGTTGTTCCGCCTGTTTCAGTATCGCGGTTAATGAAATTCGTGTGGCTGGGGATACTTAAAGATATATACCACATGGAGGAATTTGCGACACTAAAGCCTAAATTCTCTTGTACGGGTTTTCGGCTGGGTTTTGAGGAAAATTGACTTGGTTGGGATTGGTTATGGTAACATTCGACCAACTCTTCGGGGAGTGTCCGCTAGAGCTTCATACCACTGAAACGGGATGGAATCTAAAGAATAGGTACGCACGAGACATAACTCAATTACAAACCATTTTTGGATGGATCATAACACGGGCCATTAATGTATCTGGGTCACGTCGGTGCCGGGAGCAGGTAACGTCTGTCCCGGGACGAAACATGATTGTGTTATCCGTGTAATAGAATCTTACATAAAAAAATTGACATGACAGACGGTTCTGTAAAGAGACGTGTTTGTTTGGTTGACGTGTTTGTTTGGTTCCGCAGGAAAAAAACCCACTAGTGTTTGCACCTTGGTTTCAAACATTTCGTGTAAGCAAACTTGCAAACTTATACCGTCAGTTGGCGAGGTTCGAACACACGCTATCGTCAATCAAAGACATCGGATCCTTACGTCTTGTAAAGCGGCGTATGTTTCACCCGCCCACATAGTGCCAAGCACCGACATTGAAGCCTGGTTTTAATCAGCAGGTACTTTGTCTTTGAACAAGACCAGAATAACCTATTTCCCATAACCATAACCAAAGGCACGACTTCGTAGCACGGGCACATGCATTTTTTAGTGGTTCCGTGATGTGACATTACCCCTTCCTCGGGCTGGCGGCAATGCAGCACGACATTCACACCTTACAGCGAGTTGGAACTTTAATGGCCGCTGGCCACAGCCATCGGGGCGCATATACTGTTATAGGGACATACGTGTAGACACGTCCGGGCATTCTAGTCACGCCTGTGCGCCGGGGTGAACAGGCTATGGATGTCCTTTTTGTGCAGTGTCTATAACAGAAATTAAACAACTCATCTTTAAATATGTATTCATATGTATCATCACGTCCTAAACGGTACAAACGGAGGATTCCACCCATATTCACTCGCTCTGCTGACTTACTCACGTCCTAAACGGTACAACCGGAGGATTCCACCCTTACTTACTCACTCCACAGAGTTTATCACGTCATAAACGGTACAATAGGGGATCCCATCTTCACTTCGCGTATTTCATCACCCAGGCTCTCTCTCTCTCAACAGGGAAGCCGTTCTAATGGAGTTTTACTCCGTGGGATTCCGCCGTCAGACACTCTGCCGAGTTCATTACTCAGGCTCCTGACAGGCATCTGCAGGGACGTCTCTATATTTATGTTAACCTTGTCACCTGAGCTCGTCTTCAGCTTGAGACCAGACGGCGATTGGCAGCAAAGACAGACGGAGTGATCCAGTATAACTTCATGGAAGGTTTATACATGAAAATTAGAACATTTGTTTACCGGGGTTGGCGGTATTAAATAAGAAGACGATTTGTCCCGCCCATGGTTTATGGAGTATTTTGTGCATGAGATGTGATCAACAGACAGGAGTGCATACTTGCTTCATGCGAGACGGCTACAGTAACTATAGACTACGGTCTAATACTACATTTCTGTACATCGAGGAAGGGATGAATATATCTAACATCGTGAAGAAGAGCATCTAGCATTTAAGTGCTCCCCAGTTTTCATAGTCTTTGTTCTTATTTCGTACTGGTCCTACATTAACTCAACAGTTGGGAATGGGAGGCTCACAGTCAGAAACGTTTTTTTTTATTTATAAGCTAAAAGTACAACAGTAAAATATTGACCGGTAGCGAACAATTTACACCGAAAAGGAAGAATACGCTGCGTTACAGATAACACGTCGCCTGGTCCGTCAAATAAGACTAAAATAAATGCATGTCGTCATTATTCCCTGTGGATATTGGAAAATTAAATTAAAGTTTGTGAAGTATGATGTGGGGTCAAATTGGTGGTAGCGCCTGGGCAAGCACGTGACGCCCACATGACCGCATTGCGCCAATCAAACAACCCGGTGGTTCTACATAAAATATTGAACGGATGACTTTCGTGTCACGAACAGTAAATTGTTGGGCCCCATTTATTGAATGTGCGTGGTCTAAGGTCAATATGTCACTGAGAATTTCTAAATTTCTCAAGAAAATGTAGCTTATAACCACGCTTCAGCGTAAATGCCATCCAGTGAGTTCTGTTTGCTCGGATGTGCCACGGCCGAGTTAATATCAAAATAAAAATGGGACAATAAGATAACTAAAATCAGCCTATGGATGGCATAGAATGGACCTTCTGTAGAAATATTCACAGATCGGCATTTATAGGTGTTGGAACGTGGACCAGGACAAGGCTGACTGGGTGTCTGTTCTTCGGTAACATGTTACACGTGACGAGAATACAGGTCTCTACCATTGAAGGTCATGGCTACGACTGAGTAGATTTACGTCAAACGAAGATGGTCTCATTCTGTCTTCATCGATTCTGGCTGTTGGGGAGTTGATTTTGTATCAGGGGTCCTCCTGCCCCAACCTAAATAAAACGTAAAGCAATCTCATCTCATCTATCCCATTTGACCATTGGGGCACCACAGAAGATCTGACAAGCAGTTTTCTCCACCCTTCTCGATTTTCTGTTCTTACCGTTTCTCTTATCGTTAGTGTAGTGTGGTCAATCTCATATTAACCTCCCATTTTTTCGGTACCCACCCCTCTTCTGCCTCCCTGCTCCCTGGACTGTTACTTGCATGAAATGCCATTTTTTTCGGTGCCTACCCCTCTTCTGCCTCCCTGGACTGTTACTTGCATGGTAGTTTTGACTAGTCCCCATGACTGTGACACGTGGCCATACCACATTAGTTTTCGTTTCTTTACACTGCTTTGGCGGTCTTCGTATGGACCAATATTTTGCCGGACTCTGTTCCGGACCTGAACCATTTGAGATGTGGTACCTGTATGCGATCTCTTGAATCTTCTCTTGAATCTTCGGGGGCCAATTCACTTGAGTTTAGCCGTCAACAATAGCTCAAGTTGTAAGCAATCATTTCGGGAACTGCCAAACCTTTTAATGCCGTTTACGATGAAGGTGTCTGAGCGAGCCGGCCCGAATAGCAAAAGGCAAATAGCAGATTTCAGAACAACGGCGACGACTGATAGCCAGCCAGGGGGGATTTCGCCTGGTCAGCGGAACTTGGAGGCAGCAGTTCCCGTCAGTCCAGGAACCTGGAGGCAGCAGTTCGCGTCAGGCCATGGCAATACCAAGTAACTTGGTAAAGGTCGTCACGAAGCCGTGCATCCACCGGGAAGTAATCCTGTTCAGGAGATGCAGACGGCAATCCCGTCATCCGTCAGACTGGCAGCCAGGATTGCTCCGCTACATTAGCTCATCCGTCACGGCGGCCGGGAGGCTGACACTCAGCAGATATGGTATTGAAGCACCCCGGGCGTCTGAGCGTATCAGCTCATATATGTGATCGGTCTGATACTAATCATATCAGTGAAATTAAGCGTCGTATGTGTCATAGTAATCTCCAATATGTGACCGAAACTGGAGAATTTAGCAGTTGGGTAAGTTGGGAGATACCGCCCTCCTGTCTCTATTTTGTATCCCGGTGCGGACTAAGGTGTTCAGACTTCTGTCCACACCTGCTTTACCATGGCAAGACACCAGTGTGATGGACTAGCGGCTCTCCCACCTACCTTCATGTACAGCATGCAGCTAGATAGCAGACAACTAAAAGACAGGGGAGCAAAGTTATAGGGTCGATCCATGCAAATGACTTTTCCTGCTTCTCAGTGCCTGTCCAAATCTAGAATGCCCAGTGATGTGTGTTGGCTCATGTCTGACAAAGTTGCCCTGTTCTGTTGTTCCCAGGTGACCGCCTGTATTGTGGAGCTGGTGACCTCCCACCTGAGGAAGGTCACCACACCTGCCGACCCAGAGTGTGAGAAGATCATCGCGAAAGGTGCCCCTTACCTCCTTGCTTCATTTCACGTGATTTCATGGGCAAAATGAGTGTGAAGAAGCCGCTTACCGTTAGACTCGTTATGTGGCAACAACGAAGAGTTTCTAGAAATGATTGATAAGTTGTACATTGCAAGTCGTCCTTTATCCCACACTTTCAAGAACATATCCCCTGTCGTCCAACCCTCAAGGAACATTCCCTCTTCTTGTGCACGTTTCGTCCATTTGTCGGTACTATTTCTGACATTTCTGACTGTTCTCTGTTGTTTGCAAATCAGATGGCCGCATCTTTGACCTGATGAAAAATGAGAAGCTGCTGAACCAGCTGAAGTCGCTAGGTGCCGTGGAGGAGGACCTGATTCCTGATGCCAACGAGGTGCTCAAAGCAGTGGAACAGGCAAAACAAGGTAAGACCAGACCAGCGGCGTGCTGAGCACCATGAGTCATGGTGCTCAGCACGCCATTGAGGATAAGTAAAGCGGGGTCATCTCATTCTCCCACGGCAGAGCTATCCCGCGGCGAACACGTTAGTTAGTCTTGGGATGTACTAGTAAGGAAGCACCCCTGCCTTGGGAGGATGGGTCATCTATAATTTACAGGTCTCAAATATCAAAGTCCTTTCAGAAAACACTTACCTATCTTTCATGGAATCCCACTAACATGAAATTCAACACCGGTACTTTAGTTGTGACGTCACAGGTGAGTGTAACATGCATGCTGGATGTGTTGGTAGGTAAGAGTCAGCTGGAAATGGTGGGGACCATCCAAACGATGCTGCGGCAGGTGGAGCAGGACCACAAGATGCTCCAGAACCTCCTTCAGAACATGGGCCGGCCAGGTGAGGGCACGCACGCGACAGGCAGGCAGCATTCTAGGGCATTCCCTCCAAACACACGTCCTCCCCAAATACACCCTTTTCTCAAACCACTTTAAGACCTTTAAGTGTTAGCTGATGTTAGAAGTCTGACCCTGCATGACCATTTGACACCGTGAGGAAAACGTCCCTTTCCCTAGACCCTGTACTGTAAGATGTTATGTTGGAAGTTTGACTTGCATGACTTTTGGACACAGAAAAAACACAGTCTGTTATGATGTAAGTACTTTGCTGCACGGGCATCTGGTAGGGATGTAAGAACTGCTTCAACAACAGGACAGAGCACGCTATGCACTGTATCCCATTCAGTTCACTCAACATTCATTTTACATCAATAAAATCACACTTCCCGGAAATACTAACGAGTTAACGACAGTGACTTGAATGTACTGCATTTCCCTTCTAACGTTAACTCTTGCCCTCCTCTACTAACCACGTCCTACACATGTTTTCTGCCTGGCTAGGCGTGTCCTCTCATTCACACTGAGCAACTTTTCCGCGTTCTTTTGTTCCCGTCTCCAAGTAGAAGGGGCATATATGATAGGGCAACATCTCTCTATTTGAAATCATCCACAATGAAGTTGATGTTGCGAAAAATCACATCGCACAACCACAGAGCATTGCTCCAAACTAAAGCTCACTGCTTCAGACTTGAGATGTTAGGACGGTGTAAACAGTTGACCTACGAAGGTACAAGTTCTCCAGTTATGCTGTGCACAGCGTTCATGTAGACTTTTACAGGCTAGGTGAAAGGTCTGTGACAAATTTCAAAGCCATCATAACACGCCTACTGTTACAATTGTCCTGGATGTTATTTTACTGCTGTTGTTTTGCAGAGCTGGCTGCCCGGGATGATGGGCAGGTGGACCTCAGGTCGAATGAGGAAGATGTTGAAGACAGAGGTGAGCAATTTAAGTCTCACATTAATTCAAATAAAATAAGTCTAAACTGTCTTCAGTGTGTCTTGGTTGACAACATCTTGGTTCATGATCAAACTTTTGACTAAAGATACATAGAGTGACATTTACAAACTTACAATTGCCTCATGCACTCCGATGTATCGGAAGCTAGATATGTTGATTAACAGTGAAATGAACAGAAAGTTTAGACTGGACCGCGCTAACTACGTGTTTTACAGACAGCGCTGAGGATGAGTTTATCGCAGGGAACGACGGAGACCCGCAGGAGGAGGATGCCCCTGAGCAGACCCGACAGGACTTTCAGATCTACGCCAAGTCAGACGAGGACGATAAGAGAGGTGATGAAGCAGAAGGTGATTACGTGTTTTATGTTCGATGTCAGAACAACCTCATCCCTATCGCAAGGTGCTGATTTAGATCACATATCAGATGGACCTCATGGATGACCTGATTACCCTTTAAACATCTGTCGTCTTATGATTAACTAAATTACTAATTACATTTTTTTGTTTAAGTAAAGCAACACCAGTTACCAAGCAGTTTTTGTGCGTCTCATGCAACCTCTTATTTGAAACAGGCGGCAATGGAGATGAAGAGACTAGGTCAGACGAAGATGACTCAGAGGAGGAGGAGAAAAGGGATGAAGAAGAGCCAAGTGACGAAGAAGACGACCGTCGAGACGATGGAGAAGACGAGGACGATGATGATGATGAAGAGGACGAACGAGGTGAAGAGGGGGGCAATGATGAGGAGGAAGAAGAGGAGAGTGAGGAGGAATCACAGGAAGAGGACGCAGAAAAGCAATCAGAGGTGAAACTAAGAGATGATGATGGAGAAGAAGATGAGGGGGAGAAGAGAGAGGACGACGATGATGATGATGACGATAAGAGAGATGATGATGGAGAAGAAGATGAGGGGGAGAAGAGAGAGGACGATGATGACGATGATGACGATAAGAGAGATGATGATGGAGAAGAAGATGAGGGGGAGAAGAGAGAGGACGACGACGATGATGATGATGACGATAAGAGAGATGATGATGGAGAAGAAGATGAGGGGGAGAAGAGAGAGGACGACGATGATGATGATGACGATAAGAGAGATGATGATGGAGAAGAAGATGAGGGGGAGAAGAGAGAGGACGACGATGACGATGATGACGATAAAAGAGATGATGATGGAGACGAAGATGAAGGGGAGAAGAGAGAGGACGACGACGACGATGATGACGATGATGGAGAGGAAGATGAGGAGGATGAAAAGAGAGATGACGATGGAGACGAAGATGAAGGAGAGAAGAGAGACGAGGAAGAAGAAGCGGATGATGCAGATGATGCCGAAGAAGAGGAAGAGGAAGAGCGGAGAGGAGACATGGAAGATGTAGAAGAGCGGGGAGGGGAGGAGTCGCCTGAGGAGGAGGAGGAGCGCGGGAACGGTGCGCCAGACTACGAGTCAGCGGAGGGAAACAGCCAGAGTGACGAGGCCAGTGGAGACCAGAAAGCGAACGGTGAAGACATCAACAACATCGAGCGGAGAGGAGGAGGAGAAGAGGAGGACGAATATGAGGAAAAGAAAAATGAGAGCAATGAGAGCAATGAAAGCAGTGAAGTCCACGCTGATGGTAGTGGCGCCAACAAGGATGACACTGTGGTAAGTTTGTGAGCCTTTATGACCCACATATTCATAAATAACTTGTGAGTTGTCAGCAGTAAGATATGTCAAGAAAAATATGGATATTGTTGGCATGTGTGAGTACGCTTATTATCAGGTATTTGCAATTGCTAGTGACATATGATTAAGTAAATTATCATATCTTTATCAGGATGTAGTTGGCCCAATCAGATGACCTTACAGATTTTCTGTCGCTCGTGCCAGGCGCAGCTGAACGCGCTGGTGGCTCAGCAGGAGCTGCAGGACAAGGCCCGGCGGCTGCAGGACGAGCTCAACAACGTCGCGCAGGCACCGCAGCGCCGCCGCGAGGAACGGCGGAAGTAATCCACTCACTCTGCCCGAGGCACCCACGGCTGCTGACGGGACGACACTTACTTAGCTGGCATAGCAGATATTTCAATACTAGCAGTAACGGTTGGGAATGTTGAAGGTTGCCGGCACTGGTACGCAGACGTCGGTGGCACTCCACCCAAACCTGCCCCCGTATTCTCTCTCCCACTTCCTCTCAACTCACTCCTGTATCATAATGTATCCAATATTCTCTATTTCCTCAATCTGAAATAACATCATTTTCAACACAAAGTAAATAAACACTTTCGATTAAGAATGAGTAAGAACATAGCCATCTGTAAAAAAAAATGCATCCGTTTTGGTCATTATTTAGTCTGTCAGCTTGGCAGTTCCTTCCTCCCTGCATTCATTCCAAGTTTGAGTGGGTTACTAGTAGTTAACAGTGTTTGCAGTTGTTGGTGGATGTTTTGTAAAGTAATATGTGAGTGCGAATTTCTACTTTTGTAACAGGACGTGCTACCACCACTGGTGGGGAAACAGGCTGTCTCGTATTTGTGATGTTATGGACGGAATGTGGGTGAAATGGTTTGTCCAGTGCTGCATAGTATTGATCATGAGCTCCATATAAATTCCTTTATTGTAATTCTTGAGTATACGTAGAGGTGACAAATCCTCCAAAACCATCATCATGTGGCATCATGCTGAGGCATACATACTCTCCTCTCTCTCTTTCCAATGGTCGCTATTGCTCTGTAGAATAGTTTCTCTCAACATTGTATAAATTGAAAATGTATATACGGTACATTATGCTATTATGATGTTTAACGGTAGTACGATTCCCAATGTGGCAATGTTATGGGTTAAGCAAAGCACATGTGCAATAGCGAGGACAATATCGCCGACACCACTCTGGTGGTCAGCTGTAGAGTGCTGTTGTTAATGTATAGTAATTAATGACATGGATGGTAACGGGGGGGGGGGGTATAAATGACTTGTACTCCAGAAAATCCCAGACTTGGCTGACTGTACTTTACCTCCAAGCAGACGTAGAATTCTGCGTGTGCGCACATAAAGCAAGGTAAACAGAAAAACATGAAATCGGCACAGAGATAAACGGAATTGCACAAAAGACGTGTAGAACATGCCGGGCGTACATCTGCCTGGAGGTCAAAGTTGACTAACATCTAAGTGATATATAAATAAATATATATATGCTCAGCACTATTCTATTTTCGATCTTTCAAGTGATTAGAAAATTAAATTCACTGTATGAAACGGCGTTGCATGGTCTTACCTTTTTGTCTCAGTTTGCTGCTCGGTATTTGTATGACTGGGTGTACATGAATGTGTGGCCTAGTTTATAAGAATGATGAGTAGGCAAACGAGCTGCTAGGAGGCCCGATCCGACACCATGTAACGTTACTACCAGTCCCAACAGCTTTGGACTAAAATTATTTGCCCAACACTTCCGTAAAATTTTACATCAAACTGCAGTACCGTACATACCTGTTAGGAGGCCCATTATCGAACTTGGCCTTCATTTTTGCTGCCCCTATCCATTAACTAGATACATTAACATCCGTCCACAGCTTATTGAGTTATGTTGTACACACACGCGCACGTACACGCACAAAACAACCCTCTGTAGCAACGTAGGAACATGGCAGGCCATTTTCGAACTTGAACTTTGTTTCATGGTAGTATTAATTAACCACTAATTTTCACCTATCAAATATCTTCTCGAGTTATGCTGAACGCATACAACCAACAAATACATAAAAAGCCCTCTGCAGTGTTGTTGGACAAAGCCAGGTGGACCATTAGCAAGATAAATTTATTGACAATTTGTTCAGTTGAACCTTCCCAGTTAGACTTAGCCTGGAATCCATCCGTGAACGCTGTGCCTCCGCTTCGTTCCTCCCCTCTGCTAGTCTAGCCTTAGACTAGTACATCAGCGCCGCCTAGCGGAGAACGTTACCCGCTGTGACGAAACAAGTTTATTTGGTACAAGTTAATAGATAAGTTAAACTTGTAATAGTTCCATGTGTTCATCATATGGCTGAGTGGCTGCAGCCTAGGAAGGGACGAGAAATAGGGAAAGGCGATTATGAAAATAACATCAATGACGAAAAATAAATCGTCAAAGAGAGATGGAGCAAATTAAAGTGTGCAGATAAGAAACAAAAAGAAGAGAATAACGTTACAGGGATATTCTACGTGGGAGCGATCGTTGGAGGGAAAGGGATGGATGGATGATTCCAAAGGCGTCACAAAGGCAGCCTGATCTTGAGCGTATAATGAGACGTTATGATGTCATCAAACACCTTACAGAGAGGGCCGCCTTCTTCATTCTACACATCCAACAGGCAGTGCTTTATCATAACATTAATCGATCGACACCTAGTGGACTATATCTATAACTTTATTCTGATTTATTCGCATAAAATCGTCATGAATTTTAAGTGCCCCGCCCCCCAGATTACCCGTCATGCAGCGGGCGGCGCAGTGCGCAGGACAGGAAATCGTGATTTTGGTCAACCCAAATACTTCGGACTTGGTGAAAAGTTGTCAAAATTGTGGCGGATTTCATGCATTTTCCCCAGCGCGTACGGTAGCCGTGGTACACGATGGGGACGCCCAGGACCGCGACGATCATGCGGAGGAATCCCCAGGAGGATTTCGAGTTGATCCAGCGGATCGGCAGCGGAACATACGGCGATGTGTACAAGGTGGGTGCGAGCCGTCGCCTGGCCTGTCATGGCGGAGTGCTGTGTTTTCTACTGCAGACGATCTTTCCACAAATAGAACCAGAAAACTTTTCTCCAAAGTCGGGCACGAGGGCTTGCTCTGGGTCCCGTGGGCCTCTGGTCCGTTACGTATCGTTCGATGTTTTGGGCTGGCATAGGGGGTATCCTTGCAGAGTGGGGAGGGTTCAAATATTTGTCGAATTCTTCGCATGCATGAGCGAGATCTCCCTCCGTTCACCCCAGCGGGCTTCCCAGAGCCACGGGCGGCTCGTGAGGCCCTCCCTCCCCGCTGTTTCCTACCCAGACAGGTCGTGCGTGGTGCAGAAATCGACCGGGCCATTCTGTTCCGTTCTCCACCCGCTCACACGGCTGATGATCGTACTGATGTCTGAAAAACGAAAGTGTCCCCGACTGCGGGCCGGGTCTGTGTGTCCGCTGGCCTCTGCGCTATCACATGATGTGATCTTGTCCGCCAAACTCGTACGGAAGTGTCAAAAAGTCCCAGAAAAGCGACAAACTTGTCCGTACGACAAGCGTCTGGCTTCCTTCCGATACGAAACAAAGTCTCCCCCTCTCCCAGGAGGGTTGGGGGCTGATGTGAGGGAGAAGGGGGCCGTGCTCAGCCCTATTTGTTTTTTGTTTACAGTTGCCATTTATGGTCAGTCCTCACACAGAAGACACTCTGACAGGTTCTGTCCAAGTCCTTATCATTTTGTGTGTATGTAGTGTCATGTTGGGCACCTTTTGTTGGACAGAATGTCAAGGGTTTGTTTGATACATGTCTATCCTGCCTGTTGCATTAGTGATGGCAGGAAGGTGTGATGACATCACCCAGGTTTCCCAGTCACCTGCATGACATCATTTCCTCCCAGGCAGGGAGAGGCAGGCCACATGGCCATGGTTCTGCAAAGGGTTTATAACCTAGGTAATATGATTAAATATCAGCCATGGAGAGCAATGAATTCTACTCTTCACACTATACCTGAGTGGGTCACCCTGCCCAAACCCCCTCCTCCTTTCTCACAGTAATTGATGCCCAGAACTTTTTGTTGGAGGTAAACAAGGAAGATGACGACAGAGTATTCAGGCACCTGTGGAAGGTGTTCCAACCTTTGTACAACATCATTTTCACTTTCACCTTCAGTTTCATCAATTTGTTCTCCCCCAAAAAACTTGGATCATGATGACTCAAGGCCTATTGTTGAAAACAATAAACAATTTTTACCTACAGTCACTTCACAACACATCCATACATGGTTGTAAATGTTACTAACCCTACACAAAGCAACCCATGCAGCCAGGGGCATCACGTCACACCAGTGCCCTGAACATTAAGTTTGTGTCACGTTATGTCCACATTGCCACCTAATCAAATGGCCAGAAAGCTATTCACTAAATAAGTTTTGTTTAGTTTGCAGTCCAACACTTGTCTGATAGAGAAAGGTAGCATCACGAAAAACTTAAGCCATTATTTTGCATAAACTGTGAAAAAGTGTTACATGTGATCATTTTAACTGTTCTTGTGCTTGCTATACATCATTATTCTTGTTACTTTGAGTTTCTTTAAGTTGTTATTGTTTGCTCAAGACCATTGTATATCCTTGTGATATGGCAGAGGTGGTAGAAATATAACACCTCTCCAGTTTTAAGCAACACCTGGAGTTAGATATGAAAGGCTTGGGTGTACCATGTGCCAGTGCAGCTGATGTATTATGCTGTTATTTTGTTGACTTATATAGACAGAGAATAGAGTGAAATTGAACATGAAAAGAAACCTTATGATGGCCTCCATGATCAGGTATTATATAACTACAGAAGGAAATACATGTACTGTCTGTATTGGTAGTCCTTTAGTTTTCCTTTCCTTTAGCAATAAGGACAACCATAAATAAAAATCATGAAATGATGTTAAAAGTTGAACAACAGGAAATAGATGTGTAATATTGTGTAGCTGCTGACATCTCTGCATACAGGCTTGCTCAGGGAGGCCCTGACTCCATTTGTTCTATTGATTTTCTTTCTACATTTGTTTTATGTCAGGTATGTTGGACAGTGTTTTATGTTAGGTATGTTTGATAGTGTTTTATGTTAGGTTATCCTTAGAGATGTTGAACAGTGGTCAGCATCCGATAACCTTACAGGTACCACAGCAGGGTTGGACAAGTTTTCAAAATTCCACTTGCCCTATTGGGCAAGTACCTGGTCATTTCCACTTGCCCGAACCAACATTTAACTTGCCCAAAATATGAATTTTACCGTACTAACAGAAAGAAAATTATATTATTATAGAATTTATAATGTTGGATACTTTATTTATCAAAATAGTTTGAAACTTGGATAAAATACTGGAGGGGCTATACTTTGCATCCAAAAAATTTACTTGTACAGGGGGATATTCACTTGCCCAAACAGTACTTTTACTTGCCCTGGGCAAGTGGGCAATGGGACTTGTCCAACCCTGCCACAGACTCCAGGAGTCCTCAGGGCTTAGAATTAAAGTACTGACTATCTAATTGCAGAAGTTTGAGAAAATGTATAAGTAGATGCAAGTTTTTACACTAAAGAAATTCAGGCTCTGTTATGAATCCCACAGTCCAGGCAACAGAAAGTATTTGGAGCCTTGGTAATGACATTGATAGGGCAGGGTTTTGCCTTACAAAATGCCCAGTGCTATAATGCCATGTGAAGACACAGGTATGTCTACCCTGTCATATTTGTAAGGTGGCATGTTAAAATGCAGATATGTTTAACCAGTCATGTTTGTAAGATGTCATGTAAGACACAGACATGTCTAACAGTCATGTTTGTAAGAGGCCATGTTAAGACATAGACACAGACACATCTAACTTGTCATGTTTGTAAGATGCTATGTAAGACACAGACATGTCTAACCTGTCATGCTTGTAAGATGCCATGTTAAGACAGACGTTTGTAAGATGCCATGTTAAGACAGACATGTCTAACCTGTCATGTTTGTAAGATGCCATTTTAAAACATAGATAGATATGTCTAACCTGTCTTGTTTGTTTTCTCCAGGCTCGAAACATGCAGACTGATGAGCTGGCAGCCATCAAAGTCATCAAGTTAGAACCAGGTGGGTCTGATAGTTGTGCAGTCTGTGACTTAGTCACCATCAGTTAAAAAAAGCCTGTGATATCTGTGTACCAGTACATTCTGTCCAAACATATAAGAGGGACCATGTTCAGAATAACTCTGACATTGCTAGGAATGGTCTGGCACCAAATCAATACTGGTTAACTGTTGTGATTCTCAGTTCTTTTAAAATGCTCATGACCAAAATATGACCTAATCTGATTGTAGTTGACTTACCTAGTATTACCTGGCTAACAGACACATTTAGAATTTAAATATGCATGGTTCTCCTGTTACATTAAAAATTTTAATGCCTTGCCTTGGAAAAGTCAGTACAAGCCAGTCACCCAGTGATTTCAGCTCAGGAAAAAGCACAGAAATGCAAAAATAAAATATAGAGATGCAAATAGAGATGCCTGAGGTGGGGGATTGGGAAGCTTGCTGGAGAGTCTCCAAAAATTCATTTTTAGAAGGCCGTACAAACTCAATTTCTCAGTCATCATGATTGAAACAAACTTCCAAGTGACTGTATTGTATGCACACTTCCGATATTTGTATATATTTTACAGACGTTTTTTGGTGTCATTTGGTCTTTAAAGTACACATTTAGTGAGTAGTGTTGACAACAGAGGACATAGGGCTTTTTTTTTAAAAACCTGAGATTCATCAAATTAAGTGGCCTGGTCTGACATTGGCAGTTTTGTTGGTTAGCTGGCTCGTTTGTTTGCTTGTTTGTTTGTTGACTTGTTGATGAGGTACAATCTTGCATGCATTTACTATCCCTAGTCCCAGAATAAAATCTGTTCATGATGACGAATCAACCTACATGTATGAAGACTGTACAAATTCATTCATCTTCAGTCTGCTTGGAACATGCTAACAGGCCTGTCCACTGGAGGTAGCCGAGTTTGAAGTTCAAGTTTGTGTGAACCACATGATAACGGGAAAGAGGCATACTTAGCACTCAAGTATACCAGCCCTGCAGCCTCCGCTGAAAGAGCTGGTTACAGCATGAGTAACTGTTTGTAAATTGTGTTTGAACCTTTTCTCTACTGGGATAGCCTTTGGTTACAAGTTCATGTTGGTTATGGAGTTAGGCAGCATGGGGAAGGTTAACTAACAAAAAAATATGATTGTGAGGCTGGTTCATGGTTGTTATTTGATTTAACGGTCCAGCTGCTGTCAAAGTACATCTAACCTTCCATCAAGCATTGGATATTATTACTTCAGTAAAAACTGTGATGATAAAACTCCAGGCTGGGTCGACCTGTCACAAGTACGTTTATACCATTAACATTCTGACTTTGTTGTCTATTCCTGTGGTAGAGAGGATATTTTTGGTAGCTGGGTTAACATTTGATGTAATAATGTATGGCCAAGGTCATGTGAAGTATTATAGCTGAAGGCTGTGGCAGTGTTGTTTATTAGTGCTGATCTGTTGCTTGCGCATGGTTTTGTCTTGTTACTTATTACAATACAAGTGTTGTGTTATTACGTAATTAACTACAGGGTTATCTTCTATTTTCTGTAATCTGTGATGAATAAAGCTGAACCTGTATTGTTTTAGATATCCAAATTGTAAGTTGTTCAGATTTCCTGCTATCTCCAGAATATTTCTGCAAATTGCAGGTTGCAAGCGGATATTTGGAGCCCTGTTACTGTCAGGGCTTCATGTGCCAATAGACTAGACACTCTTACAAAAATATTGTATGTATTAAATTTTTGGTCAATGCAGTTATACAGAATGATGTAACATTTGCAGATTTGAAGAAAGACCAGTGTATAAACTGTCTGAAAACATACAATCCTCTTTACTCTTTGGTGTACAAGTGTTGTGTGGACTTTGCAGGGAGCTGCTCTGGGAACCATAAGAAGTGCTCTTGTGTCAGGCACACTTCTGTGTTTATGTTTACCACTTCAAAACTGGGAGTAAATTCCTACTCAGGCTTGTCAACTTTTGACACCGAAGTCAGAAGAAAAGAAACACACAGCTCAGCAGTTTCAGAATGCAGTATTACAGTGTTGAAGGTATACAGGTCAAGTTCAAACGGTGTGTGATAAATATCTTTTGCCCGTTTTGCTGTATAAGTTGAAGTGAAATAGGAGGACCAGAGGGTGAGGTTTGGCTGCCACTGTAGGGGAGCTGATGTAGTCGGTAGTCTGGTTGTATGGTTAACCTTAGGCCAGCCTAAGTTGCAGATCGACATTGATTCACAGTTTATACAGTGGAAGAATGCTCTTAATCTGGATTGCAGAAATGATTTGGTCATCCTG